CACGCTGCAGTGGCAGGGAACGAGGAGGGCCCAGGAGCCCTGCCGTGGCGTACCTGCAGTGCCAGGCTGGGGAGCAGAGACTCACGTGAAGGGTGCCGGCCTCCCACCCTCTCCCTTACCTTCCAGGTCTGGACCCTATTGCCCGGCTTCTGCACCCACCCCACGGATGTGCTGGGGGCCTTCAAGGGGCTGGCCCGTACCCTGGGCATGGCCATCAGCGAGCGCCCGGACCTGCGCCCCACCGTGTGCCAGGCCTTGCGCACCCTCATCCACAAAGGATGCGAGACAGGTTGGGGGAGGGGACAGACCCTCGTGGTGGGTCCCTGTTCCCTGCAGTGACCCAGAGAGGGGAGATACTGATCTGCACCCCTTTTGTCATCCTCTCCCTAGATGCAGAGCGGGCAGAAGTGGGTCGCTTTGCCAAAAATTTCTTGCCCATCCTGTTCAATGTGTACAGCCAGCCCGAGGAGGATGGAGGCAGCAGCGCTCAGCGCCGCTCTGTGCTGGACACTGTCCGTGCTTACCTGGCCATCACTGACCCACAGGTGAGTGGGAGCCTGGGCAGTGGGGCAGGCTGTGCTGGCTTGGGCTGGCATCTCCTAGCCAGACCCAGTTCGATGGTGCTGTGGTGGGTGCCTGACTAGAGAGGACAGGAAGAAAGAAGCTGGGCAGAGAGCGGCCCTTCCCTGCCCTCGTGGGGAGGGAGCCATTCCCAACGAGCGGTCTGGGATTTCCCAGTCTTGCAGCCACACCTGGCGCATCTGCATGAGCCCTTTGGGAATTTCCCCTCGCTGGTTTTGGAACTGCTGGTGCTTCTGGTCTCCACAAAGTCCTGTGGCAAGACATTTGCCAGGTGGATTGCAAACTCCTGAAAAAGTGCTTTCTTTGGTCAGTTCTGATCCTGCTCTGTGTGCCTGCCCTGCAGATGGTGTGCGGGTTCCTGCAGAAAGCCAGCGAGAAGCTGACCAGTCCTGAGAGCTCCGAGTTTGCCAGGTAACACCCGGGCGCTGGTGCTAAAGAGTAAAGCTGCCAGCTTCCTCCTGGTGAGCAGCGCTAGGGCACTTGTACTGTATTCCGTATGGGATGTGCCACCCTTCATGCGTCCGATGAGACTCACAGCCAGAGTCCCAGCCTGGTTGGGCAGTGTCGGTGATGCTGCAGTTACGCACCTGTGTGTTGTTCTTGGCTGCAGACTCTCCATCCTGGACCTGGTGGTGGCAATGGCACCCTATGCTGATGAGCAGTCCCTGGGCTCCCTGTACCGTACCATCCAGCCTTCCCTCCAGGTGAGTCAGCCCCTGATCCCAACAGGCGCAGGGGGTGCAGTGGGGCATCTTCTGCTTGCTACCAGCTTAGACCCATGTGCTGGGGCTGCTGAGCAGCTGCTACAGGGGCCAGGTCTCTGCTGGGTGGCATGGGGTGCTGCAAGGGTCTCTTCAGACACCGTGGCGAGGGGCTGCCCTGATGGCAGGGTTGTGTTGGCTGTCCCTGCAGAGCAAGGAGCGCAGCATGCAGAAGAAGGCGTACCGCGTGCTGGAGGAGGTGTGTGCTTCTCCCCATGCCCCCTGCCAGGCCTTCGTCCGCTCCCACCTGCAGAATCTGCAGGCAGCGCTGCTGGACTCGCTCAAGAGCGCGGCATCTCCGGCCAAGAGGGTGAGAGCAAGGGCTGCGGCAGCCGAGCTCGGCCCCTGCCAGGAGGGGATGGGGTGGGGGCAGCCAGGTGTGTGTCCTTGGGTGTACCAGCACTGGACTGTTTCTTTCCCCAGCCCCGGCTGAAGTGCCTGTTCCACATTGTGAAGCAGCTCTCCGCAGAGCACGAGCCCTTTGTCACCGCCCTGGTCCCAGAGGTGAGTGTGGCCCCTGGGGGGACCCAGCTGATTCTGGCCATGGAGGGGGACAGCAGGGTTGTGACATGCCCGTGTGCCTCCAGGTCATCCTCTGCACCAAGGAAGTGTCGATGGGGGCCCGCAAGAATGCCTTTGTGCTGCTTGTGGAGATGGGGCATGCCTTCATCCGCTTTGGGCCCACCCCCCAAGGTGAGCTCCTGTTCCACCTACTCAGCCCCATGGCCGCTCCAGCCCCAGGGGGATCGGACCCATGCCTGGCATCCCACTGAAAGGGGCCAGGGATGCTGCTGGGCAGGGGGCGAGTGTGGGCCTGAGACATCCCCATCCTTTAGAGGCCATGCAGCGGTTCCTGCTCCTGGTCTATGCGGGGCTCACGGGCTCGGTCACCATGATCAGCTGCACGGTACTGGCACTGACCCGCCTGTTCTTCGAGTTCAAAGGTGAGCGGGAGGGCTGGGGGGGATGGTGGCAGCACAGAGGGACAAGGTGGCACCCTCCGGCAAAGGCGGGTGCTGGGAGGAGACCAGCTGTGGCTGAGCCCTGTCACGGTTGCAGATCACCTGGAGCTGAGCGTGGTGGAGCAGCTCCTGCAGAATGTCTGCCTGCTGCTGGCCTCCCGCACGAGGGATGTGGTGAAGGCGGCCTTGGGCTTCCTCAAGGTCACGCTGCTGCTGGTGGACACCAAGCTGCTGGCCAAGCACGTCCAGGCAATGGTGAGATCCCACGTGGGGTGCCCTGAGGAGGGTGGTGGGGCAGAGCTGGGGCTGCCTTGGGCAGCCAGGGGCATCTCCAGCTGCACCCTGCTTCTGCCCGGGAGTCAGGGGCACAACCTTGATCTTGGTGGCTGAGAAGGCAGGGAGGAGGTCCCTCTCCTGCCTGTTGGCGTGCACCTGCCAGAGAACCCCCATGAACCAGCCCTGCTAAGCAGGGAGACCTCACCATAGCCCTGCCTGGCGTGGGCATGGGGAGATGGCTGCAGGGTGAGCAAGGTGGCCATGCAGGGCAAGGGTGGGAGGCTGGGTGCCCAGAGCAGGAGTGCCCTGGTCTTGAGGGTCACTGTCCTGGCAGCTGGAGGCCGTGGGGAACCTTTCGGACGACATGAGGCGCCACTTCCGTATGAAGCTGCGAAACCTCTTCACCAAGTTCATCCGCAAGTTCGGGTGAGCCAAGGGCTGTTGGGTCACACTGGAGCCACACTGGGGCAGCGAGGGAGCTCCCTGGGAAGTGGTGCAGGAGAGGTGGGCACTGACCGCTCTCTGTGCGCTCCTCAGCTTTGAGCTCGTGAAAGGGCTGCTGCCGGCTGAGTACCACAAGGTGCTGGTGAACATCCGCAAGGCAGAAGCCCGGAGCCGCAAGCAGCGTGCCCTGAGGCAGGCGGCTGCGGATACGGATGAAGAGGAGGCACCGCCAGCACAGCCCAGAGGAGACAGGTAGAGATGGGCCAGGGGTGAAGAAAGAGCAGTCCCGTTGGATCTGGGGATGGGGACATCTCCAGCACTGGGGTTGCTGTGCACTACGGGGTAGGCTGGGGTCTGTACTCCTGGTCTTACTTCATTTCCATCATCCTCTCTGCCTTTTGACCAGCATGGAAGAGATCCTGGCTGACTCGGAGGATGAGGAGGAGGAAGAAGAGGAACGTCAGCGGGGCAAGGAGTGGAGGAAGCAAGCACGGCAGAAGGGCCAGGCCTGGCTGAAGGAAGGGGAAGAGGATGAGCCCCTCAACTTCCTGGATCCCAATGTGTCCCAGCGGGTGTTGGGTGAGGAGCGGAGCTTCACATGTGGCTGGGGTGGGATGGACGGGGCGGGAACTGGGGTGGGATACACAGGGGTCTGGGGGTATGGCCACCCCCGGGAGGGGGGTCCTTCCCCAGGCCCTGATGCATCTCTCTGTGAGCAGCCACCAAGCCAGGCCCCAAGCGGTCCAGAGGAGTGAGCCACGACTTCCAGGTGTCTGAGGATGGGCGCCTGATCATCCACGAAGAGGAGGAGGAGGTAGACGATGATGAAGCCAAAGGTACTGCCTGGGCTGGCAGGGGGCCACGCTAGACTTGCTCTTGTACTCTGAAGTTTTATTTCTGCCACCCAAATGTGGGAACTTGGGAAGGGATGTGGGTGGAAGCATCAGAGGTTGGTGTGGCCTTGTAACACCCATTGGCTCTTCTGGGCCACTGCCACCCAGGGGAGGCACCCCCTCCATCACCAGGAGGGGGCTGGAAGGGGACATGGCTACCAGTTTGGCAGGAACATGCTGCTCCTGCAGCCCGCTCTGGGGCTGGCACAGTACAGGGGCTCTCCTGCACCTGCACTCTGCACTGACCCTCTTGTCCTGTGCCGTAGGAGCGGACGAGGAGATGGCAGATGTGCTGCAAGACGTGGGTCTCCGCAGTGTGAGTACAGGGCTCATGGTCCTGAGGTGATGCTGGGGGAACTCGGCTATGCCAAACCCCTGCCTGTGCTGCGGCAGCTGCAGCTCTTGCCCAAGAGGCCAGTGGGGACACCAGGCATGTGCCAGCTGCTTGGAGGGGTGCGGGAGGCTGGCTGGGGCAGGGGACGTGCGCAGGCATCCTGGAAGGTCTCTGGGCCCCCATGGGAGGAAGCAGGAGGTCAGGGATCCATGGGAGGGTAGAACTGTAAGGACAAGTCAGCTGCAGGATCCCCGCTGCCTTCTTCTGCAGAAAAAAAGCCAGAAGCGTCGGTTCAAAGAGGAGCCAGATGATGAGGAACCCGAGGCCGGGACCTACTCTCAATACAGAGGTAAGTCTTTCACCTGTGCCTGCTGTAGGGCTCCCCAGGGGGCCAGAACCACACACCCATCTTACTTGGCTGCCCCAGGGCAGCTAGAGCAGAGATCTTTGCTCATGGGAAGTGGTCACCCTTCTCTGCTGTCCTGACACACAAGAGCTGGAGGCAAAACCAGGAACAGCTTCCCCAGCCCTGGTGCATTCTAGCATAGGAAATGGGAAGGGGGAGCCCTGGGACCCTTTTTTAAAACACGTTCCCTGTTTTTCAGCTGGAGGTTCTGGGATCCACCGACCGCTGGACAAGGAGCCAGCCTTTGGTTCGGAGTACAGATCCAAGGTGAGGGAGCTGGGGGGTTGCAGGGTGGGGGTGGGGAGATGCCTGGGGCTCTGCTGGGACAGGATTGCTGCTGGCCTGGGGGGCAGGAAGCACCAGGTGTTTGCTGAGGGTCTGGTCCAGCAGTGCTAAGGCTGGGGGGTAAATCTCTGCTCCAAGAGGAGTTGCCAAACACTCAGTACCTTTGAACATTCCAGCCCATCTTGGAGTCCTGGTCCTGCCCTTGCTGTGGCCATTTGCTGCTGACTGCTCAAAGCAGGTGTCTGTAGCATCATCTGCGTGGGACATCAGCTCCAAGGGCCATTGACTCAGCTGGCACCTCACTACAACATAGTCTTTGGGGTGTCTGGGTGCCAGGGTTGCACCAGAACAGGACACATGCATCTCTCCTGGTGCTGCATCTTCTTCCATGTCACTATCTCCCACAGAAAGGCAAAGGCGATGTGAAGAAGAAGGGCCAGCTCGACCCCTACGCCTACATCCCCCTGAACAGAGCTAAACTCAACAGAAGGTGAGACTAGCTGGGAAGGGCACAGGGTGGGGAACAGGGCCAAAACACAGGTTTGATCCTGCTTTTTGTTGTTATGTTTTTTTGTGGATGTGGGAACTCCCTGCTAGCTTCTGCACCGCTCCTTGCGGAGCCTGGAGCATCCCTGTGCATTAGCTGTGCCCAGTGCCCGTGCTAACCCAGCCTCCTGCTCCTTCCTCCCTCCAGGAAGCGGGCAAAAATGCAGGGCCAGTTCAAGGGCCTGATGAAGGGTGCCCAGCGCGGGGCCAAGGCTGGCCGCAGGAACCGTCGGAAGGCCCAGCGCCCCTGAGGAGCCTCAGGTGCTCTGCCTGCACCTGCCCAAGGACAGACAACACCCTGGGGCCTCTGGGCAGCAGGGGACGGGGGCTTCGTTGAGTGGAGCAGGGGGGACTCCTCTGCAGGAGATGGCCTGAATCTCTTTGAGACTCACTGGGAAGTCACCCCATTGTATTACAGACTCTTGGCTCAAGCCCTGCCCTCCTGTGCCTGGAGGAAGGTCCTGGGTGCCTGGTGCAGGGGCGTGTGTGTGTGTGTGGTGTGTGTGTGTGTGAGAGAGCAAGTAATGTGTAATGAATTCTCTATATTGATAAATATCCACTGTTCCTATCCAGCCCAGATTCCTCCTCTCCTTCCCTTAAGACTTGTGCACACCGTGTCCCCTGTGCTCTGCCTGCTGCCCTGGTGCAGCAAGTCCTTGTGCCGCTCCAGCACTGCACCCCACAGGGCTCGTGCCTGCGTCAGCCCAGGACCTGGGGCTGGACCCCTCTCCCCAGCATGGGGTTTGCTTGGGGGCTGCCAGGAGCAACACTGCGGTACAAAGCACTGAGGCACTGCCTGTGTCCCGTGCCCTCCTGGCAGACATGTAGTAGGGCCGAGTCGTGGGGTTGGCCAAAGAGAGAAGCCAGAGATGGTGAGAAGTCCTTTGCTACAACCAGCTTCCTTACACAAACTCCCTCTTGGCAGCATCTTCTCCTGGATGAACAAGGCCTCAACTTGGGGATCTGTGCTGTGTGGGGAGCATCTGCCACTTGGCTGCCACTCTTTTTGGTCCTGCCTCTTGCTTTTCTCATATTAGCTATGCCTGGTTGCAGGGCAGAACAGTTCGCTGCAAATTTCTTCAAATTGGCTGGAAAAATGCTACTGCAAGCCTCTGTGCCTTGCCCTTTCCCTTACCCATAAGAGCTGAGAAAAGCCCTTTCTTCTGCTCTGACCACCTCCTGCCAGCTGGGCCTGAGCAGCACAAATAATGCTCAACCTTTTTAGCTGCCCGGCCATATAAGCTTGGTCTGAGCATCTGTTTTTGCCCAGTATTTATGCACTGAGCCCAAAAGATGGTGTTTGCCCAAAGTATGCTGAAGAGAATGGAGCTGAGGGTATAGGCATAGGTCCCATTGCTCACGCTGCAAAGAACACATATTTGTGAACATAGCTGGCTTTCCCTTCCTCTTCTATATTAAAAAGCCTTTAGTCCTTTGTCATTTCCTACCATGGTAGCTTACATGCTGGAGTTGCAACGCTTCTCAGTTTCCTAATAACTTAAAGGGATTGTGCTTGTTCAGCCTCTTACTGCAGTCTTTCTGGAGGCTGCAAATCCAGTTTTGTGGCTCTCATGTGCTTTTTGTTTTTTTCTGAGACCTTTTTAAAAGCCTGGGGGTGGAGGAGGAGTTCTTGTAGTGGTATTGGTCCTGCCTTGTCAGGAGCACTGTCCCCTTCCTGCTTCCTCACTCGGGGCTCTCACTTGGACCCTTCAGCCCCAGGGCTGTGTTGAGGTGCTGCTGCTCTAATCCTGCCAGAAGGGAGCCTGCAGGCTGGCTTATGGGACAGGCATCTCCAGCAGCACCTCCTGACTGTGTCCACTCGGCAGGAGCTACATCCATCTTCCTCTGCTGCCTGCAGCCTTGGCCTGATGCCCTCCCTCCCCTGAGGGTAGGACAGGGAGACAGGCAGCGCTCACCTTCCAAGCCCCCAACACCTGTAACGTGCAGCCCCAGGCCCACCAGAGCTATCTGTCTTTCTGCTTTCTCTCCTTGGAGACAGGGCCTGGAGAAGGCTGTAGCTAATTTGTTTAAAAGCTCCAGATTACTCACTGTATTGTTCTTCATTTGCATGTTGTTGCTTAAATTAGTGCATGCCTGTGTGGAACAGAAGAGTTTCATTAGCACAGAGGATGGTGTTCGCCTGAGCTGGTGTCCAGAGAACAGATTCTTCCACAACAACATCTTGTTAATCAGCTAATTAATCATGTAATGCAATAGAAACCCTGAGAGGAGACGTCATCCCGCCTGGGGAGGCTGGCTGCGAGTCAAGCCTGCTCCCCACCAGCAGCTGTCCCTGGCAGGGAGCAGAGCTGCGTTTCGGGGGCATGCAGGAGGCTGAGCACAGCTCTCTGCTGTGGGGCAGGGTGAGGGTGATGGCAGGTCCTGCCTCCTGCAGATGCCAGCCACAAATATTTTGCAGTTACCTGCAGAGAAGCTCAAGTCAGGGACCTGGAGCAATGCTTGATGTTCGTTGCTCAAGCTGAGAAGTGTCCAGAGGCTATTTCTTCACCCAGCACGCCATTAAACCCCGCATCTCCTTTCCACAGCCTACAGTGGGTACCGACAACGTACCCGTCTTCAGTTGCGCTTGTGCAGAGAATTGTCACGAAGGGCTCTTAACCTTGCAGTTACCAGCTGCGAAAGCAGGAGGCCCCCAAGCTGTGGGCTGCAGGCGTACTAGGCACGCTTGAGGGGAGGCTGACAGGACTAACAGGCTGCCCCCGGCACTGGCCGGGTGGCCCCTGGAGTGGCTGGGACAATTGTGGGTGCCCACATTTGAGTTTTAAGGCTTAAAATCACGAGGAGAAGGAAAACAACGTCGTTTTCTTACCCTAGAAGCTACCTGCCTGAGTTGTGCCTGCTGTGGCGTGGTGCTGAGAGGGACAGATGTGCCCTGTGGGGCTGTGCCTGTGCAGCATTCAGCTGGACCACCACCTCCTCTGAGCACACTGCAGCGCCTTTGGGGATCCCCACAGGCACACCCGGGTCTCCCCAGTTCAAAGTCAGGATTTGGCCCGCAGCAAGGTGCAGGGATGGGAAAATACTCCGGCAAAGCAGTGTAAGAGGAACCTTGGTGTTTATGCTAAAATGATTGGCAGTAAGATAATTAAGTGTTGAGGTTTAAAATGCCAAGGGACCACTCCAGCTGAAATCTAGTCAATTAAAAAAATGTCAGATTAATTCCTAGTCCCCTCAGCACTCTGATCACTTATTGTTTCACTTATTGTTTCTAAAAAGTTGTCTGTCTGGTCTTGGTTGTTACCCGAAAGCTCTGTGCAAACCCAGGTGCAGCAAGCATGCAGGGGCACAGGGACAGCTAGGGGCAAGGCAGATGCTTACGCACACAAAGGAAAAAAAAAATAGGAAACAAAGACATAAAGCTGCTCTTCCAGTGTCTATGCTCCTCTAATTTCTCCTCGACAGTGAGCAAAAATAAAAAATATTCAAGCTGAGATGTGAGTTGGGGTTCATGGTGTAACTGGTGCTTCTTGGAGCGCTTTGGGTGGTCTCTGCAGGCTCAGGCGGACCCTGGTGCGTTGGTTACGCATAAGCCAAATTTTAGAAAGTTTAATTGAAATGAAATGGCTGCAACTTTTATTTTTCTACTGAATATTAAGGCTTGAGGTGCCAGGTGTGCACAAGACTCCAAAAGGCGGTGCCACAAGAAGTCCCTCGGCTCCGGACGGGTGCTGTGGGCAGGCCCACGTGTGCTGGCCGTGCTGGCGTTAGCTGTTCTCCTCGCGCCTGCCCGGAGCTGCCGTGGCTCGTACCGCGTGAGGGATGCTCAAGGGTAGGCAAAATGGCACATGCACCTTCTTGCCCCCTTTGCCCCCCGGCAGCGGGAGCACGCCAGCCATCTCCCACATGCGCGATCGGAGGAGAGGAAATGGCCTCAGGGTGTGCCAGGGCGGGTTTAGGTTGGACATCAGGAAAAATTTCTTCACAGAAAGGGCTGTCAGGCACTGGAACGGGCTGCCAGGGAGGTGGTTGAGTCCCCATCCCTGGAGGTATTTACAAGGTGCTTAGGGCCATGGTTTAGCGGTGGGATGGCAGGGTTAGGGTAGCGGTCGGACGTGATGATCCCAATGGTCTTTTCCAACCGAAACGATTCCATCATTCTGCGATTCTGTGCTGCCGGCTCCCA